TAAATTCACATAAAATGTTTTGTTTTGCTTTTAAATTGTCCTTTTTGTTGAAATGATAAGCTTAGGATAAAGCTAAAAATGTCGCTGTTGCCAGTTTTATTGCGGTACGTAGACGTAAATAAGGAAAGGTCATAATAATGGCAAAATACAAACTTTTGCTTAAAAAAATACTTACCGTTGGTTTTTGAGACTAAAATCTCTATATAAAACATATCGTTATCCCTGTCATTATCTTTGACAAAACCAGGATAACAATATGGATGGATACATGGATTTTGGTCTCAGTAACCCACAGTAAGGGAGATATTTTATAACATTTTAGAAGTTACATAGATAAATAAAAGTTATTACTTTATTACGCTACCTCGTACCACAGGTATGGCAAATGTTTTAGTTGACGTAACTGGGAGCTGGACGTCCTTCGATCGCTCACGAAACCGGTGTAACGTTGCCGACATTTGACGAATGTCTGCCGTTTCTAATATTAGGGCACACCGGTCATATGCAGGTATTAAATTTCATACACTTATTTTCTAAGATACTTAAGTTACTTGAGATTAATTTTACAGCGAAAAACTAACACATTGGTGTCTAAAAGGCGTAAGTGTCAATAAATAACAAAACAAGAATAGGAAAAAATATAGCAAATTATTAGTGTAGCAGTAACCTGGTTCATTATTAATAATGTATAATTTATGGAGTTTCTTTTACTTCCTCTAGACATGTCTACCATTTGATAGAAATCGTTCCATATCTAAATATGAAAAGGAAATAGTGGAGAAAAGCTTTTCTTAGTAATGACAGGGCACTTTTACGTGGTCAGTGCTTACTGATCGATGGCAATCGGCTAAAGATACCGTGTATCCAACAACGGACGTAGATATCGATTGCTAGATTTACTTCTAGTATCATATTGCAATATCACCTGTTTCATAGCTATTTATAATGCCAACCTTTGTTTAGATATTAGACTTTGAAAAAATACAAATAGGTAAATATAAAACGTTAAAGGTTTTAAAAATATTATTATATTTAATCCTACATTTAAAACGTGAAACAAAAACTTTTGTACCTCTTTTGAAAGGGAACTGTGAAAACGAATAAACGTAAAAAGTAAGACAGTAAATTTGGGAAGAAGTCCATAAAGTCAGTAGTCAAAATTTTAATGCTATTGAAATTAAAAACCAAAAACAGAAGTCCGTTAAGCGGTAGAAAATAACTGGTGACAAATTCAACTAAACATTACCATACTAGTACAAAAACATAACGTAATTGTTAAAAATAAAAACAAATCCATTCCTCTACTAAAATACCCAAGTCTACGTGATACCATCGTGTGATGATACTATACATAAAAAAATCGAATTTGCAGTCAAAAGCCGTGTCGGCTACATGAACGGCGCCATGTAAACATTACTCAGAAAAACCCACACAATTCCTGTGTGACACGGCGAACAAAAATGGAATGACACGTTGCTACTGTGACGTATGAGATGCGTAGGCGCAGCGCGCGTGCTACGCATCCGTACGATCTCATCGATGGAATTGATTGAAAACGCTAGTGACGAAGCTATTAGGATATTGACCTCTTGTTTGATTTTATAATAACAATAGAAATTATTTGTGACGAAAAATATATTGAGTCCTTAGGCTTACGTGATATCTTTACCTTCTAATCTTAATTCAAAAGTTCTAAGCAATTGAATACAAAAGTGCAGTGTAACTTAAATTGATACATATTATTAACATTAAAAAACGGAGAAGTTTCCGAAGTTACCAACATATGAGTAGCATTGACATTTAAATTCAGCAAAATAAATCATACGAAATTGTTTACAACAATAGCACTTAAGACATCGTGTAACGGTGATACCCTATCGTAACTTAAAAATAACGTTACGTATCAATTTCATTCGAAATGCACTTAACGGCTGAGCAAACGGAACACACTGTATAACACCCACGTCTACCAACATAACTAATTCATATTAAGGACATAAGGGTCTTAAACTTATGAATGTGTCTTCTGTTGCGGTAAAAATTGGCGAGCCCGCTAACCGCAATGACATAAATTGCAAATAACCTTATATGGACCCTAACAAAGACGTCACAGCATAGCTTAACGGTGACAAAGAAGATGACGGACTGCTTATTAAACATGAGACGCATGACAGAGAAATGAATCATCCGAGTCTCGACAGATCGTAGATTGGATAATCATTGACAGTCATAGATCGAAATGAACATTGCCACTTAAAATCGCTCTAAGGCTTTTTACTGAGCAGCCCCTAAATGATGATTTAGCAACGCTTAATTTCAGATTTGATGTTCATAATTATTCTACACGAACAGTGACGGTTTTAGCTCTTCTAGTTCTCTGGGTGAGATTTCTCCGGCACCCACTTTTTTCCATACCTTTAGGTTTATGTAAGACAGTAATTCACAGACTTGTTGACGACCTTTCGTATCCAGCGCCCTGGGCGATCGCCCAACCTCGCCCTACCCTAACGCCGGCACTGTATACAAATTATATGCAAATCTCAAAAAGGATCAGTGTGAGCGGCCACCGACCCGGATGCAAGCAAGATACGACGCCGGGTCAACGTAAGGAAACCAAACGGATATAGTTTTACGTTCAAGGGTAAATGACACGGCACTAAAGGTTAAATGTTTACAACGCGGAGGATTATATAAATAATTTAGCCTTGTAATACATGAATAGAGGAGTGCAAAATATTATTATATTAAAATCGATTACCACGGACATAGGAACTAATAATCATTTCATAGAAAATTATGGAACAACGCATATGGAAGTTTGTAAACGTTTATTAAGTGATCTAACGCGTTCCATTGAACGATGATTAAATCTGACCTTGAACTACTGAGACAACAAATTACATTAAAATTACCATAAAAGCTTAACGCATGTTAAAACTAACGCGACACGTACTCATGTATCATACGTAGGAAAAACATATTTAATAATAGATTAATAAGATTGAATATTGCAAATTATAAAATATCGGAAGAAAACAAAAACACATTGTGACAACCCGGAACTTGCATGCACCTCATCAATAATCAAAGACTAAGGACGTAACAGATATCAGTTCGAGGAAACGATAATTGAAAATGCGTTCAGAATAGTTCATTAGACACGGGCCGTCGACTTTAGGTGACGTCGCCCAGCTGTGGGAAAAAATAAGTCTCTCAGTGACAAGGACACGGTATATCATTGTTCAATACATGAACAGGGATTTTCCAACGGTGATAATTTGCATAAACGTAGACCTAATCGAAATTATTCAAAGGTTAAGAATTGAAACAAAGGGATTATTTGTAAAGGAAAAACCAGTATCCGTGAAGTGTATAAATAGAAAAACAACACATGTTAACAATCTTGTAAATATCTGTTGAACACTTTCCAGAGATCGACATCGAAGCTGATGACTCATTTATGAGCATCCTTTTGGGAATTATTCATCAAGTGCGGTCAGGGAGAGAATAACAATTCAATTAGATCTGCAAATGTTAGTCACATCTGTCGACACACTATAAATAATACTACGAATGGAAATATAGAACCGTTAAGTACTACAAATAAATTCCAGCTTGATACCTTCACGCGTTTTTGAGAAAATGGATATTGACAGACGGACAATAAAGTGATCCTATAAGGGTTCCGCTTTTTTCCTATGAGGTACGGAACCCTAAAAAGACTCGTTACAATTGACCCATTAAGTGTCGTCATTGTTTCAAATTTGACACGTTACAAATTATTTCACTACATTGTTAACAAATAAATAATATTAACAACATAAAAATAACAAAATCAAATAAACGGAAGCTACATTTAACATAATTAAAAATTCCTTTAATTCAAAAAGATAACAATGTATCAATATACATAGGTAAAACTAATTAATAATCACGAATTTAACATAATATTGAAACCGTTTCATTTGTTTTTAAATGGTCCAATTAGTTTGTGGAAACAAATGAAAACGATCACCCGGATGCTATTATAAAATGTAAAACATTTAGATTATATTGTAAACTTCCTATGTATGGCAAGAAGAGATCCGTCTTCGTTCTAAGATCCTGTCCACTACGTAATTACACGCGCCGGATGTAACATTGTCTTACAATTAATATCAAGTTTACTAAGAAACGTCTACTTGTAATTCATATTACCTACTTTTATTTTCTTTATCAATTGATTTGTTTTTAACAATCTTACTGTATATCATAAATGCGAATGTTTGGATGGATGGATGTTTATTTGCAGGTATCTCGCGAACGGTTGTATAGATCTCTCTGAAACGTGGCATAGATGTAGAACATACATATACATATGGAAATATATATAGGCTTATTGTTGTAGATTAAAACCTATTTTGTACAAATGTGTCAAAAAGAAGTGACGTTTGTTTTAGAATTTAAGAAAAATAAGAACATGTGTCAGAACATGAATAAAGAACCTGGAAATGTGAGGAAATAATAGTTTTATTGCAAAGATCCCTCACATATATAAGTGGCGACCGTGACTTAAAAAATCATGTAAAATTGATTTGGATTAATAAAGATAGCACGAAGAATACGAATAAAAATGGACCTTAAAAAATTAACCCGAGAAAGGTGCCAATTCAGACGTATTTTTAACAAACACGCGGCGAAGGAAAAATTTACAGACGCCGATATTGAATTTTTAGAAGCGAAATTCAAAGCTATAATAAGTTTAGATCAAAGAATACAAGAAATTTTGTTAGAAGACGTCAACTACGACGAAGAAACAATAACTAACGAATTTAACGACTGTCAAGAAATAGAGAAAAGATGGCTGCAGATAAAATGTACTAGAGCAGGCTCAAGCAAACAGGGATGTACTCAGATACCGTTGAACCTACCTAAAATAGAAATGCGAAAATTTGATGATAACCCGAAGTCGTGGATCGCATTCTGGACGCAGTATGAAAAAATTCATTCGGACGAAAAAATCCAAAGCGAAGATAAATTTACTTATTTATTAAATTGCATGGCTCCACATTCGAAGGCAAGAGCATTAGTGGAAAGTTATCCGCCTACAAAGGAGAACTATGAGAAGGTAGTAGACACATTGAAGAAACGCTTCGCCAAGGATGAAATTTTGATTGAAATTTATGTCAGAGAAATTTTAGATGTTGTTCTAACGAAAAATAACTTAGATATAATTTACATTTTTGATAAAATTTCTGTTAATTTACAAATTTTAGAATCTTTAGGAATAGTTAGAGAAAAGTACGAATGTATTTTATTACCATTAATAGAGTCATCATTACCAGATGACATTTTATTACAATGGACTAAAATACCAAGCCAGAAAGGGTCGAAACTTAAACAGTTGATGGAATTCTTAGAAAATGAAGTTGAGGCACAGGCCAGATGTAATCTTGCCAAGTCTTCTTTTTGTAACACGTTTCAAAAGCAGGTGATTCCGACGACGGCGTGTTTCGTGACGAAGCAGGACCAGAATGATAAAGAAGGTAAGGTGATAGTCTGTTTTTTCTGCGACAAAATTCATAACACAATAGAGTGCAGCAAAGCAGATAAGCTGTCACTGGAAGAAAAGAAAAATGCATTAAGGAAAAAAGGTGGGTGTTACATATGTTTAAAGAAAGGACATCTCGCCAAGTATTGTAAAGCATTTATTAGATGTATGTATTGTAGTAAGAGACATGTTGTTATCTTATGTCCAAAGCTCCACGCACAACCAAAGATCTGTGAGCAGAACAAAACAGAAAAACATTGTGAAAACAATAAGGAAGTAAACAATAGTTTCATAAGTAATGACATAACTACCTTGTTACAGACGCTAGTAGTCAAAGTTTCTAATGGTAAACAAGAGAAGAAAATAAGAATACTTCTAGATTCTGGTTCACAGAGGACATATATAAAGAGGGAGCTGGCAGAAGATCTTGGACTTCAGGTAACAGGCAACGAGAACATCAGCCACTCGCTATTTAGCGGTGTAAAGAAACCAGCAAAAATGCATAAAGTCTTCAAGTTTAGAGTAAGTAGTTTAGATGATAAGTTTCATACTACTATGACAGCATTAGAACAAGATGTGCTTTGCGGAAGTTTACCCAAAGTGCAAGACCCAAAGCTGATAGAAAACTTGAGGAGGCATCAGATCTGGTTAACTGACGCAGCGGAAAGTATCAAAGATATTAGTATATTAATTGGATCGGATCAATTAGGTTGCATTATTAAAGAAAACTTCATTCGGTTAGATGACAATTTAGTAGCAATACCAACAAAACTGGGGTGGACACTACAAGGCCCAGTTCAAGGAAGTAAATTGGAAAGAGTTAGAAGAAGAAACAAGCTCTTACAATATCCAATGGAAGTTTTCAGCTCCAGCTCCCTGGTGGGGAGGGTGGTGGGAGCGAATGATAAGGTTAGTGAAAGAAATGCTCAGAAGGATATTGGGCAGAGCATCGGTTAATTGGATTGAGCTATCTACGGTATTGTGCGACTGTGAGGCAGTCATAAACAGTAGACCGCTTACTTATGTGGAAATGGGAGACGTTAGACCGTTAACACCAATGATGTTCCTGCATGGATTACCGTCTAACGATACACCGGACTTAGATCAAGTTGATCATAATAATTTGAACATTAGATACAAGTATCTACAACAATTAAGAGAAGATTTTAGAAAGAGATTTAAGACTGAGTATTTATCACTATTGATTAGTAAAGGAAAAGAGAATAAGAGAGAGCCTAAAGTAGGGGATATAGTGATTATACAATCTGAATCATCACACAGGCTACATTGGCCTATTGGAATAATAAAAGAAACCTTTACAGGGAGAGATGGGTGTACAAGAACAGCTAGAGTTAAAACAGCTTCAGGAGAAAAGGTGAGACCGTATCAAAGATTATTTCCTCTTGAAGTCTCAGCAGTCTCTCAAGAATGGCTCAACAATGTACCTATACATAAAGGGCCTTCAGACACAGGTAATGTGACGAGTGATGCTAGTATTAACGATAACCCTTCCCCAGGTATTACAACGAGGTCAGGACGCACAATAATGCCTCCAATTAGGTTTTAGTTAAGATTAACAGATGTTGTTGAAGTTCTGACCCTTGCTGTTGTTTTGGTCGCTTTTATATACTATGTTGATTTGAAAGTTGTTGATTTTTTTGTGTGATAATTTTATGGTTTTAAAACCTTGTATGCCTCCCCCGGGAGTGTGTTGTAGATTAAAACCTATTTTGTACAAATGTGTCAAAAAGAAGTGACGTTTGTTTTAGAATTTAAGAAAAATAAGAACATGTGTCAGAACATGAATAAAGAACCTGGAAATGTGAGGAAATAATAGTTTTATTGCAAAGATCCCTCACATATATAATAAAGTTTTATTTAATACTGCGGACGGATTTGCAGGCGACAACTAGTATTTTTAATAAGTTACAATACACTAGCTAAAAGCAATTATCGTAATAAAGTAAAAAAAAAGAAATCGTGCAATTACACGGTCATTATCGTATTTGGCCCCCCACCTTACATTACCTACAACCCACGTAAGCAAAAAACGCTCGATACTATTAATTTGATCAGAAATGATGCAATATTTTTTGGGATAACTTAGATACTTAGAGGATAGAGGGATAGATAGAGATTTTCGTATATTAATCATGACTTATTAAAATGTAGAGTTTAATGCTGTATAAGAGGCGTGATGCATTATAAAGTTGTTTAAACTCTGCAGTATTCTAATAGGTCACGACATTTAACCGAGGACACAATAATGCACAGTCTAAAGCTACTGAACATATAGTCATATCGGAAAAATCAACTTTCATTCTGTACAATATTCCTCCAAGAGTAGAGCAAAAGGTTCTCACAGAGCAACTTTTGTTACAAACTCATTCTAAAGCTATTAGTAGACCTATCCTTTACATTTTTATATCTTAGTTTAAAAGCAAAAACCCATCAGTTATTTAGTTTAGCTGTACGATTAACCGAAGTTAACTACATGATGTTAAATTGAATTATAAATTTTAATCAAAATAAATTGCAAGATGTTTTATTGAATATACTATTATAAAGCATGCTCTTTTATCCTGTATCAAGATGGAAGTCATTATAACGCTTGAGTAAGTATTAAAAAAAGTTCATATAATCATCACTCAATAAATCATCGGAATAAAGTGCTATTAAAATACCTAACAGGATGTTGGATGTTATTTATATAAACAGTAACCATAAAAACGATTATCATTACGTAACTACTGAATAAAATATGGGTACTGCAAATACGATGCATTTTTATAAACCACAATAACGGACATATATTGGATCTTTATCTCATCGATTTTTTTACCGGTAAGCATATACCCTACCTAAATAATCGTATGGAAACTTTACATTACGTTACGTAGGAACCATAGATTTGTGAAAAGTGGATAAACTTCTAGAATCAATCTTCATTTAAAACGTAACTTATAAAAGAATACAAAAATATGCATCTTTGAGGCAAATCAGAAGACCTACTGTATAATCATGAAAAATCTCTTGGCAATATCATAACCGCGAAGCGTCCGGCTGGACACTTACACTTCAATAAGGTTCCACCAGTTAACTAATTAAACAGAATAGCTTTAAACTATTCCATAATAAAATAAACATACCGAATCGACGCTTTTTGTTTTTATTTCCAAAACGTTACCAATTTTACATTTTATTTAATCAAAATTAATATTTTTGAATTACCATCTGAAACATGTGATCTGACTTACATTCCTGAATTCCTTCGAATAATATAACTTTAACAAGTCACGTTGAAAATCACATTTAAACAAGGTTATAAAAAATCCAATCATACTGTGTTAAGTATTTTTTATTAATATCGCATGTAACAATTTGCGACGTGTGACATTTAATCGAGCTAATCTTCCAACGTCGCGAATTACTAAACACGAAGTTTAGTGGCTAACGGAATTGTAGGATGGAATTAATCGAATACTTGCATGTATTCGACACATGCACACATGGGTTTCCACTGTGGCTGTACATGTACAAAATAATATTACCATCCTTGTCGTTTTTTTACAAAAAAACAAAGCAAGCAATATTTTTGGTTCCGTCGGTGAAAAATCACAGTTAGCAAATTATTAATTATCACTTATTAGGGATTTTAATCAATAAGTGATTGCATAACGGTTTTCAAGTCGATTTCAATTACATTAACAACGTTTTATAGGTGTTAAGGTGACAGAGAAAAATATTAGAATACAGTTCTTTCCAATTTACCAAATTGTACCTTCAAGTAATTACGTTAAACGGATGCTCATATTTTTTATGAAGTTATATACTTTGAAGAAAATCTTTAGTAAGTGTGTGAATTTACATAAAAAAGACGTTATTATTATGAGGCGCGGTAAAATCAACTCCAAATTTCTTTTGTCAACTTTAAATCAGTAATAACCAAATAGTTTTGACCTTTGGCTCTGGTTCACCTCGCATGCGACCTCTACCGGTCAACTTTCGTACAATCGGAAGTCGTGACAGCTTTTCTCTACATTTAATTTACTACTTCCGAAACGTGCGTAATCGATTTTAATTTTAGTTCATTGTTCGACATTTAATAACTATTTTAATTGCATTCCTTAAGACATTTTAATATATGTCACTACACAGCAAACAAAGTCAAATTTATTCTCTAAAATAAATATATATATTTGTTTGCCTTAGTTCTAATATAAAGTTTCTAGTCTAAGTTTTGTGACATGTATAAGCTTAAGAGTACAAGTAGAACTTTTATCAAATTGCGATTAATAAGGCAATAGGGTGGTGGTCGTTATCTCCTGGTCACGACAGTCAACATAACAATAAACCAAAAAAAAAGTGTTATGTAGTTCTGCAACAACTCACGCCAGTGAAGAGGGTACGCTCAGACCAATACACTTGAATACATTACCGTATTAATTAAACGCGACATGTTTTTGAACTTACCTGAAACAAAGATAAAAACGATTTAAACAAAACTAACAAAGGACCAACTTGGAAGCAAGGACAATTTCATTAGTTTATCTTACTATAAATGGTCTCCAAAGTATAATTTAGTTACTATAGAAAGTGTGCGTATCAAAATAATACGCACATGTTATACATAAATATGTCAAACAAATCAGTCCTGCATACTGATATAGTTCCGGGATAAGGTTAAGTAAAGACCCGGAACTATTGGGAGCAGTGCCAGCCTGCGGTCCGATCACTTGGGAACTAGCCAACAGGAACTTTACACTATCGTAGAGCGATGTCTGAATTAAAATATCTAAACTCGTAGACAGTTTATATTTGTCTTTCTAAGTTGAATTATTTATGATGTTTTGAAATGTTCGCGTAGTACGTATCACCATAGTAAGTTAAAGAGAGCTGCTTTACCTATTTTATAACCGTACTAAATTGAAGATGAATAAATCTTTAGCCCACTCTGAGTTAATCGGGTTATGATGACATGTCAATGTCTGTGCAATCATGGGTAACGACTGAAACGATATTTAACCATTAACTAACATACAATAAAAATCTATAATAATTTATGCTTTCCACTCCAAGTAGCAAACGCCTTGGCACATTTTTCATTTCGACAAAGCTTGTGTTTACAACGTTACGTTACGCATAACAATAATAATTAAAACTTACGTCAAACTTAACCTTAACCCACTTGAATTGTGCAGAATTAGAAGTTTTCATTGTTGGCACGACATATTTTATAAAACAACATATATCTTCGTTATTTCCTCTATAACATTATAATCTTATCATACTTTTTACTATATTATAAATGCGAATGTTTAGATGGAAAGATGGATGTTGTTTGAATGTATCTCCGGAACGGCTAAACGGACCTCGATGAAATTTGGAAAAGATATAGAACATATTCTGGAGGAACACATAGGCTAATAGGATTCTTTTTATTCCGCGCGGGTGAACTCGCGGGCGACAGCTAGTTTTGTCATAAAGGTATTGACAGTGCACCTGTATAATCAATACTTATAGAGTTCGAATTCGTATTGTTTATGAATAATCAACTAACAATTAATCGGACTAAACGTGGATTTCTGAGACCTAAATCCCCGTTTAAAACATATCGTTATCTCTGTTTTGTCAAAGATAATGAAAAGGATAACGATATGTTTTATACGGATTGATCTAAGAAATCAACTGTAAATGGATGTTGCAATTTCTATGTTTAAACGCTTTAATGAAAAACTGATTAGAGTTGATTTAAAACATTTGATATTTCACAATGGGGAGCGTTTTGCATATCTGCTTAAGCAAATTATAATGATTATGTTAATCATTGTGATTATTATCTGCACGCATATTCATTTTTTTCCTCAAGCATACAAGTGTTAATGTCAATATTGACAATATACTCTTATTAATGTTAAAATAACAAATTAATTTACATTGTTCTTGATTCTATTCAAAATGCCAAGGCTCATTTTACAGGTTTTTATTTAGTTAAACCTATACCGATTTTTATCATCAAATCATGCAAAATGAATCCATTTCCCGGTTATACTGAGCTGAAACTTTGCATACATGTGTAAATCACGTGACAATGCTATATTATAACGTAGTGCTGATATGATGATAAAGCTGGAAGATGGTCATAGAATTTTCGCAAAGAAAAGACACAACCACATCGAGTTGCGGCTATTTTGAATCGTTTTGACAAGTATGTCTATTTTTAATTAACAAGAACATAACAAAAGTTAGTTTTTAATTTTTTTTTAATTATGACCACAATTCCTACTAAAGTAGAATACAATTAGTATAATATTATAGATCTAATATTAATGTGTCGGCCATTTGTTTACGAACCGTTGCTTGCTTAATTAAATTACCATTCGATTACATTTACGGGTACGTGATATTACAAAGTTAACGGCTGTTTAACGTAATATAATTACGTTGCCTTCGGGTTCAAGTTTAATAACTGTTGCGCAGTTATTCAAATTTTCATTTGGTTGTTTAAAATTGGTCACTCAACCTATAAAGTACATAAATATTAAACAAAAACTAAGCCATACAAAGAAATATGAACAATAAAATGTTTTATAACAATTTTAGACAAGTCTGCTTTATGGTTTGTTGTCAATTCTTTAGTTAAATACAAAGCAACACTTTTAGTCTTCTCTGTGTATATAATTTGTAATATTTTGCTATAGTCTTGATGTACCTAACAATAATTATGTATGCAAATCATCGGCATTGTGGATGTTACGATAGAATTAATTTAGCAATTACATCGCGGCACTACTCTGTACTTATTATGCAAAAGTTAGTAAATAATTTATTTACGTTTTTTTATATCTGAAATCTTAATA